TTTGTTGTCATGTTAGAGTCAAAGGTTTTTACAGAGGTCATTTTGGATATGTCTTTTATCACCCCACAACAGTCATAAAAATATTTTTTTTGGCCATGTTTTTACAAATAAAATGTTGTATAAATCAGGCTATGAATGATATATAAACAAACCCCTCACAATAAAGTTAGGAATAAAAGTGCTACTGAAGTGGAAATTTGTGGCTCAGAGAAAACAGCCTTTAAAGCTATGTAATGTAAAATTCCATACATTTTGCATGACACTACAATTAAAAATAGATAGCAGCATGAAACTTCCCCAGTTGATTACCAGTAGATTCTGATATTTTTATGTTTATATACAAATTAGGCATTATCTAATGCTGTCTTGGTGAATTTAGGAGAAATCTGCATATACAAATAGACAACATTTTGTAAAATAATCACCCAAATGTGTGTTTTCTGCGTTTTCTTTCTACTAGTCTGAAAGACGAAATGTTATGGAAGCGAAATAGCCCAAAATCTTAAAATTGACCGGTGCATGAAAAAACGATGTCTTGTCTGTAGTGTCTTGCCTTAACCTCCCTGAGTATCAGACATGTGGACACACATCTCGTCTACCTCTTTAGACTCCTGAGTGGCTAATGTGGTGGCGCCCAGCGAGAGCCACTTGTCTTTAAAGGCCAGACCGGATCTGAGTGCTGTCTGCCGAGCGCTTCACTGTGAAGGTCACCAGCAGGGGAATGGGGGGTAGACATGTCAGCTGAGTTGCTGTGCTCTGAATACTTAGGAGCTTTATTGGGAACATGTCAGCTCACATGTCCTTTAGTAACGGTCACCAGTAAACAGCAAGTTGGGAACAGCCAGTTCTTTTTGCTATGAATGGATGATTATTTCAAATATTTCTGATGAAATGATGAAATGATGCAGTCAGAAGTACAGGTCAGGGCTGCTTGACACAGGGTGTGTCATTTGTTTATTCTGGGTTATTTGTGCATTACTGCTAATGACAAGTCTAAAATCCCTGCTAGTGACCCAAAAGGACCATGTTATGCTTTACATTTATTTTAGGATAGGTGTTAACTGACTAGTCAGATGTATTCAGAATCATATTCAGCTGAACTCATGAAATTTACTTCTTGGTAAATGGCAAGTATTATCACAATGTTTCCCTCTTTAAAGGGGAATTCCACCAGTTTTACACAACAATATCCGTTTACAGGACTGCTACTGCATATGTGAATAAAAGTTGTATAAAACCAGAGGGAGCTGCACGAAATCTGATAAATTGCCTCAAGTGATGTCACTTGAGTCAAAGTTGGATAGGGTTGAAGACTATAAGTTTGAAAATTAAGAATATCTGGGAGACTGGAGTTAGAAAGAAGTGGGCTTACCAGACCTCTGTAGCCCACTCCTCATTTCTGTCTGAGGCAAGTGCCTCAAGGCTACAGTAGCTGTTGCTAGCCTAACACAGCCAAACACCCCCAAACTGTTGGCAATCAAGTTGCTTTGTGGGTAATGTGGGCAAAACTGTCCATTGAGTGCAAAGCTAAATGCTAAATCAGTGTAGTACTCTTTTAAAGATATTCTATAACCTTGCATGCAACTAAATAGGATTTCTGTGAGAAAAGGTAATTTGATAATTCTTCAATACCTGGCACAGTACAATATGGATGGTGGGATTCATTGTTAGCTGTTGGGCACAACCTCTCTCCTACATCAATGAAATGTCCATTCTCAGTGTATGTGCACCGAAGGTTTCAGGTTTCCAGCAAATTTGTTTAAGTTGTATATTGTACCACGATTGGCTGTAGTGTCACAAAATCCTGCTCGTACTTACACGTCTTAAAGTGAGATTTAAGGTGAGCACAGAGTAAGATTCCCCTCTTCAGCAGATAAATGTGAAAACAGTCTTTAAGCACATTTATCATTCTGCACAGTGAAGGTCAGACATCCAAGTAAAGTAGCAATGAGTACAACACATTTGGGAGGGGAAGGGGGGCTTTTAAAATTCAGGTCTAATAGCTATAACAATTCAATAATTCAAGAAATGAGGAACTTTAATATTAAAGGGGCATGTTCAACAGTCTAAGGGGCTTGATGCAGATTTATAATACCCATAGCTTTACAAATAATGCATGGATAACTGTATAACCCACCCAAACTTAATCTAATGTATTAATGAGCACTTTACATTTCTGTATAATCTAAAAAGCATACACACAGGATGTGATATAACGGCTCAAGTAGCCACGATGACAAAGTGCAGTCTGGTCTGTGCTGCAAGGAGGTTCTGCTTCACTTGACTGTGATGCAGAGTGAGAACCGGTTTTCATTTAGCCTGTGTAACGCCAGCTTCCAACAGAGAGGCTCTGTAGCTGACTTGTATTTACATAAACACATTTTATACTGGCTTATTCAGCACCCATAATAATATCTATTATTGGAATCAGCACTTTTGTCCCTGCTCTGAGAGAAAAGGGTAACACAGGATGTGATGCTGCTTTTGCTTTTTTAGTCCAGTCAGCCGTAGTGTGCTGGCTATGGTAAACGATTGCTCTTCTGTCCGTTAATTATGACCCAGTACGGCACATAATGAACTCCTGCCACTGCGCATTTTCACCATCACTAAACATATTCTGTGCACTGCTCTTCAAATAATGGAAATATGCAAATGTAGATGTACGTTGTCATTATCTGTCTTGGGCTCTGATATTTGGTCTGCTGTTTTAGTGAAATTAATATCTGCTTGATAAGGTATTACCTTTTCAAGAGTTACTGGTTTTCCTACATGTGGACTGCAATTCATCCCAGTTTGTTTTTAGTGGTTTTTGTCATACAGCCTCAATATACCAATTTGTATTGAGTTGCATTTATTTTAAATATAGCCATTTATATTCTGGAGGGGTTTGACCTTTCATAATCTCACAACTCATGCCACTCAAATAACAACCAAAAACCCTTTACAACGGCAGTTTGACGTCTGCTGTTTCAGCACAGATGGGCTGCCACTTGTGAAGAGATTGATCACTTTAAAAAGCCACATGGCCTCATGCCTGTGGCAGTTACCCGTTTTCTGTCACTTCAGGTCAACACTGTGTTTATGTACGTATTTATGTAGTTTTAAATTAACTGTTGTGATGTAAAAGTATCTGTTAGTTGCTTTTATGCTGTTGAGTTACAGTTATTTTGACACAGTTATGGTTTGTCCCTAAATTGTAAGACTGGCAGGATCTACATTGTGATACACTTTTAACTGTAGACTCAGAAACATTTGTTAATGTTATAATAATGGACAGCATTAAGATGGATAACATAAGCAGCGAAGAAGTGCTTCGACTTTAAAATTTGAAAGGTCTGTTAACCTTTTGGAAACTTAACCAGACAGAATTGTATGATGTTTTCCAAAACCCAAGATCTGATGTTATTATCTCTTATGGTCATTATGGTCTTATGTGACACTTAGCTCATAGGACAGAGTGTGTGAGAGTGTGTGTGTCACTGCCTCACATAACAGATGCTTAGTTGAATCAGCTCCATGAAACCTTCAAATGTTTCAGCAGGAGGTTCTGGCTTCCTGGAACCATTAATCAGCAATCAGAGAGTTCACCTTCACTTTAAACCAACTTTATATCCAAATTTACTAATGTCAGCACTGACTTTACTGTAGCAACACAAGCATAAATAACTCAGAGTTCTATAAGCTCAAAGAAACATTTTTTATGAACAAAAAGTGTGATTGAAGGTGCATAAAATGACTGTAACATATTGTTTCTAAAGAGAAATTGATAGGATGATGGCTGCTCTTGACAATTTTCCAGTAAAAAGCCATGAATGACTTCTATCATCTTTACTATTGCACAAATATAACAGCTTTCTAGTCTATTTTCTTTTGAGCTGGAGTCACCGGTGTCTCTTTCTGGCTGATTTAGAAACTGCCTTTGTGGCCCATCATGACTGCTGACCATGTATCCCTAACCCCCTTAGTAAACTATCAGAGGAAATATCCAAATTCCTGTGGGTTTATCGTGGCTTTTCAGTGTCGCTGCTCAGCACAGGTTACTGTTAGCTCAGCTTCTTCCTTTCATATACATCAGTAACTGATTCATCCCATGACACATTGAGCTCTGCAACGTAAACACACCACTGAGTTAGGCCAATTGTGCACGCTGAACTGCTTCTTTGGCAGTCCATTTCACTACGTTCGCAGGAGTATGTGCTAGACGTCGTATTGTTGTGTCTTAGCTCTCTATTTGTGTCAACTCTAGACTTAAATTTGTGAGTTTGAATTCCTCAGTGAGGCAGGAAAGAGATTACTGAGGGGAACTCATGTGATACACTGCTAAGGCAGCGTGGGACACACTCATTTCCCAGTTAATAGTTAGTTAATTATGCTCTGTAACCTCTCTATCTTTCTTATGAGGGTTACAGCTTCAACTTAATCTTTTGCATGTAGATTTTTTCTTCCCATCTTCCCAAATTTTTGTCATGGTTCATGTCATTAATCTTGTATCTGACAGCTGTAATTTGTAACTATGCATGCTGTAAATATATACATTGCAATAGCCTGGGGCTCATGTTTAATTCATGTGCAGTAAGAAAAGAGAAGGCCCAAAACAAAGATATTTTCTCCTATTCATCTACTATACAACTGTTTATGTTTTATAAATGGATACGGATCAGTTTTACAGACCTGTTTTATTCTGAAATTAATTTGGTAGACTTTGGTTGTGTATGTCTGCTCTAGACATTTTCTGTCTCCATTTGTTTTGGATATTTTCTCAAAAACCATCGTCACAATCACAAAGGAATTTAATTGTTTGTAAATGTTGATTGTTAATAGTTGTAATAAAAAGCTGGTCAAAAGCGTTTCAGAATTAAACATGTGTGTTAAAATCAGAATACCCCTGCAGCTCTTTTTGTTTATAGCCATTTGGATTCTCAGCACAACATTTACCTGCATGTGTGCTCTAAAAGAACAAAAAGACAGCTGATGGAGCTCTTTTCCCTCTGCTCCTCCAGGTTTTGCAATCCTCCAGGCCATCATGGAGTCGGCTGTAGCCAATAACTGGCAGGTGACAGCTCGCTCGGTCGGGAACATTGTGGACCCCACAGAGTACAGACGCATCATCGAGGAAATGGACCGCCGGCAGGAGAAACGCTTTCTCATTGACTGCGAGGTGGACAGGATCAACTCCATACTGGAGCAGGTACTCAGCCAACACACACTATTGGAAAGATAACATGCTGGAAACAAAATTTATTTTATTCAGCCTCCGGCTCTGAAGGAGTAAACACACTGTCTTTTCCTCACTTTTTTTGCCTTGAACACCATTTAGACACTCTGTGAAATGAGGCACTCTCCTGGCCTGCTCTGATCTGACTTGTCATTTCTTTTTCATTATTACCCTAAACACTTGGAGTGCATCATGATTGCCTCAGATCTCAACATTCTCATTTAGTAGACGATGTTTAAACAGGCGAGATGGGTACATTCAATTAAGGCTTGTTATTTGTTGTTTTTTTGAGCACACGTTGTTTGAGGTCACCTGGGCTTAATTCACGTGGAGGAATTAAACAGCCTCCTCATCCTTGTTTCCTAGGTGACCGTCAGCTACAGTTTTCCCACATGAGGCTTGTTTCAGATTCAGTGTTTGCCAGTGCGTGTTGTGTGCCCTGTGGCTGCACCGCAGAGAATACTTTATTGTCAAAAATGTATTAAATGAGGGTTAACTGGGAATTTACTTACTTACTCAAAAGATCATTGGAGTTCAGTTTTTTAATTAGAAGCTATGTTGCACGTGTGGTCACATTTTGTGTACTGTCTCTCAAGATTGGAGCAATTGAATACATGCCTGGATTTCTCATCTGTTTTTCTTTTTTTTGGAGTGGTGTAGGTGAGTATGTATGATAATAAGATGAATGGATGTGATAACATTTGGACATGTGAATGTGCATTTATGTCTTGTATGTGATTGCATCCATGTTTCATTTTAGCCTATTACGTATATGTAGTATATTATATATCAAGGCATTATGAAATTGCTTTCTTTAATTAGTAAGAGATTGTAAGCAAACCCCATGGTGGAAGGCATAAAATAATTTAAAAAACATATATCTAATCTTCACATACATAGCCGAATCCTGATTTCACCTAAATGTTTCTGACCTAACTTCCAACCTAAATGAAGCTAACTAAAGTGTATAAGACACATGCCTTTGATGTGAGAGACCCCGGTTCGATTCCCACTGCGACACATCCACCAATGTGTCCCTGAGCAAGACACTTAACCCCTAGTTACTCCAGAGGGGTGTGACCTATACATATATATATAGCAATTGTAAGTCGTTTTGGATAAAAGCGTCAGCTAGTGTAATGTAACACTAAACATCCATAGACTACTTCTATAAACTGAAATGAAATGACTGACTATGCTTATTAGAGTCCTATTGATTGCTGTAGGAATGTAGAGAGAATTTCACTATTAACAAACCATTACCTATTAACAAAAAATGCTTCTGAAATAAATTGCAAAAAAAAGTCTTTTGTGTGTGTTTGAACCATTAATCCTGAGCACATCTTAACCTTCTCTTCTTTGCTGAGATATTGTGTGTAAAGGCTTCTGCCCTCTACATAATGATCTTCATAATCGCCGGCCTCACCAGTTTTTCTCTGACCTTCGCCGCAGATCTGTCTTCATTTCCTCTGATGCGGGGGAATATTTTTAGTGACAGTGCAGAACATTTTCATTAATTAAGAGAAGTTTGCTTTTCTCTGCCCTTCACGTTGATACAGAGGTATTCTTCAAATATTCTCGAATTAACTCCATATTAGATTCAAGTTGTCCAATCAAATAACGGGGGTCACTTGGTGTAACGCCAGGCTGATCCCATCCTAATCTGTTTTCTGTGGTGGGATAGGATTGTGAATGTTGGCCTTGTAGTGAGCATCTGTCAGAGAAGTGTATCTCCAGATGCTTGAGAGTGGCAAAACACGCCTGCGTCTCTCGAGAATTATTTCTTATACGAGCTGTGACATCAACACTTGCTTTAATGTGATATCAGCTCCCAGTGTAAGTAGGACACACTGTCCCATAACAGCAACAACAATGAGCCTACTATAAATAGCCTACCCTCCTAGCCTGAGGGAAGATCTCCCACAAAGGCAGGAGTGAGCAAACACAACCGAGATCACTCAGGCATCAGGACGCAACCATTCTTGACATGATTTATTTTTCAACCAGTGTTTGGGATTGGACCTCATAAACAGACTATAATCATTAAAATGATTGTTAAATTCTTTTTATACCTGCATTCAAGTTATTATCACTACCTGGTGCATTATACCATACTCAGACATCTATCATTCATTTTGTGCTAATTATTTTTGTTATCACTTGTAAAGGGCTTGGTTGATAAATGCGCTGTGGGTTTGTTGTTCCCGTGCTGGCTCTCTTGCAGCCTTTAAAAGTATCAGTCTGCTCATCCCTTCAGTGAAGTAAAGACAGACCGATAAACACCTTTAAGCCTTCTCATCAATAATAGAAGCACAGTGGATTTATAATCGCTGCCAAAGGACCAGTCACCTCCAGCCTCCTCCTTCACAGTGGACAGACAGAGAAAGCATCATAGAAAAAGACTGGAAAGGCAGAGAACTTGTGGGAATTGAGCAATGAGTCTCCCTGTCTGTCACTGTGGAGGGAAATGTGGGAAGTGCTGGACACCAGAGGTGCACTGAAATTCCAAAGTGTGTAGGATAGTTAAAGAAGATGCTGTTTAAAGGATGAGATCTGTTATTTAATCCTGTATGTGAATTGAAGCTTTCTCCGTTGCTTTGCATGGGCATTGGTTTTAATGGCATAAAGATTTTTAGCCATAGCTGTGAGTTGCTTCGTCTCAAATGTACAGTATGTAAACAAGACTAAGAGTCTGCAACCATGCGCAGTGTTAGGAGGTACTTAGGTTCAGCAGTGTTTTGAACTAAAGCTAACATCAGCATGCTAACATGCTCACAACAATGTTCACATACTATAGTTATCAGGTAATTGGTAGTTGAGGCTGTTTTTTACAATTTTACATAAAAATTGGCCAAACAATTTGAACGTTTGCTCAGTAACTTTCACATCAGGTGTATCATTATTATTATTATAGCTATAACTTATAGCTGTGTTAGCCAAGGTTTACAACAACTCCGCACTTGAACAGTCTGTGAAGTTACATTGCCGTGTTTATTTTAAATGTAATTCACAACCAATAAAGCATACTTACAGGTTGTGATTGTGAATTTCCAGGCCCAAACAGAGTTGGAGTTGCATCGTCTTTTAGGACTAAATGTTGAACTGTTGCCGGTGTTTTGACGATCTATGCTGCCTTGCCGAAAAATGTTACCATAGCGCAAATTGATAGACTCGACTCTCCTCAGCCCTGCTCCGTTCTCCATATCAGGAAGTACCCACAGGTAGTACGTAGCTTGACGCCACACACAACTGCCGCGATGTAACGTTCAATGCGACGCACACACAGCTTTCTCTTTTTTAAGTTAAAACGTTTCAACATTACTCAGAATGTAAAGACAGATAAGCGGTATGAAAACCTTCCAGCTGTGTTTTCCTCTGCCGTTGTTGCTGCAGCAGTCTGTGTGACGGCGGGAGCAGAGGGCTCTGTGAGCGGGCGGCTGGCCGGCCTCACACGCTCCTCCCGCAGGTTGGCACAGGCATCACCCGCAGACACTTGCGGAGCTCCTCAACTCCGAAAATGTTCAAGCACATTTTTGTTCCGCCATCACTTCTTGTAAAACTGTCAATATTCGAAATCTACACAGCTGATTTCACCTCAAAACTTCTCAGAAGTGGATTTAGGGATGAAATTACATACGAAAACTGTAAAATATAAAACTTTCTGTTGCTGGTCTCTGTCTGGTGCACACAATGATGATGCAGTGAATAGTGACGATTCTCTCTGACCAATCAGCAATCTGTTGTGTTTTCATGTTACATTTTAGTATCCCTCAGCTGGAACCTCGATGGAGGTGAGGTGATACGAAAAGAAGTACCTGGAAAACCAAACAAATGCGATTCAAGCCAAAGGGCCTCTGCTCAGACCAGCTTGGTTAGCTAGCCGCTTGGCAAGCTTTATGACGCGTTTTCATTGTGAGCAGAGTTTTCTGTGGGAGATGGGAACTCCCTTTGAGCTGGACTTTGGGCTTTTTCAGTTTGAAAACCTGTTACATGCACAAAAAAGAGATATAACTCAGTAAAGGAGAGGAAAAAGCCAAAAAGCATAATACCACCTCTTTAAGGGAACAGCAAAGTCATTAGAATTTATCCTCCAGGGACCTTGACATCTATACCAAATTTCTTGGCAATCCATGCAATAGTTGTTAAGACATTGCACTCAAAACCACAAATGTGATTCTCATGGTGGCGCCAGAGCAAAGTCAAATGATCACCAAATTATTTAGCAGGAACCAGGAATGTCTGTGCAGAATTACATGGCTTTTCATCCAGTAGTTGTTGATATATTTCAGTCTGGACCAAAGCGGTGGACTGGCAGAACGACAGACCAACATCCCTAGAGCCATGCTGCTAACATGGCTAAAAATGTACAGGTGGGTAACTCTGTGACCCCTGAGTGATACTTTGAGAGTAGTACGGGGGGTGATGTGATGCACTGCAGACAGCAGAGGGCCAGAATGAGTAAAGTCATTTGGTGGCAGTAATGTACCATAAAGGTTAGCAATGCATCAGTGATGGAGGAGAGGAAGAAAATGATGCAAACGATGCAGTTTTCAAAACACTCAAAAAAGGTTTTGTTTTAAGAGGTAGGAAATGCATTCAATTATTAAATGGGCCCTATGTCCACAGGGTATGTTAAATAATTTTAAAGGAAACAGTGTAAGCTACAAGACACAACTGCGATGCAGTAAACTCTCTGGTCACAGCTCTATACTAAAATACTAAAATAAAATAATGGTTAATAACAGTTAAATACTTTTGCATTTGTTTGAAAAGTGCATGTGACGATATGTGATAACTCTGATTGAACTATAATGGTCTACAAATAAACCACAGCAAGATAACTGTCTGTGCTCAGACCTTCATTTCCTTTACTTACATAAAAGACGACATTTTAGTGCAATCTTCTTTGTAGCTCAGGCATCCAAAGGAGACCCTAGAGAAGTTGTAGGGAGAAAAGCAAAACAAAATGAAAA